GTGACTACTCCTGTAGAGAAGTGTAGTATTTCGGATGTAATAGAGCGGGGGGGATGGGGGCCACTAAACACTTAGTCTGTCTTCTATCCCTTGGCCATGTAAGGGGCCAGCACAGCGACACACACACACCTGCAGGAGTAAGGGGGGAGGTGTGTAGTGGTGGTGGTGGCCAGGGCAAGAGGTGTGATAGTGCCGTTGGAGGATGCTTGGAGGAGTAGGTCAGGGAACCACAGCCGTGATCTCTGACGCACCACCGGCGGGGTGGGGGGGGGAGGGGGATGATGGGGTGTGTAACGACACCTCACTTGTTTCAAGTACGAGAAGTTGATGGTCCTCACGACCATTATCTACGGACGAGGGAGCCCTGAGATAGGGCTGGCTTGGTCGGGCGCTAAGGACCGAGATACAGGAGCGGTGGGTCGTCAGCCCACTCACACACCACACCTGCCCTGGGGAGGGAGTGGTGGTGGCGGCTCCACCACACACCTGCCCTGGGGAGGGAGTGGTGGTGGCGGCTCCACCACACACCTGCCCTGGGCAGGGAGTGGTGGTGGCGGCTCCACCACACACCTGCCCTGGGGAGGGAGTGGTGGTGGCGGCTCTACCACACACCTGCCCTGGGGAGGGAGTGGTGGTGGTGGCGGCTCCACCACACACCTGCCCTGGGGAGGGAGTGGTGGTGGTGGCGGCTCCACCACACACCTGCCCTGGGGAGGGAGTGGTGGTGGCGGCTCCTCCACACACATGCCCTGGGGAGGGCGAGGTGGCAGCTCCTCCACACACCTGCCCTGGGGAGGGAGTGCTGGCAGCTCCACCACACCTGCCCTGGGGAGGGAGTGGTGGCAGCACCACCACACACCTGCCCTGGGGAGGGCGTGGTGGCGGCTCCAACACTCACGCTTTCATTACAACCAAATAAAAGTTTACATTTAACTGGCCCATTGCAACTATAAATGGCCTCTGCCTATTAGATCTGAGATCATTAGGATCCAGTTATTGGACCCCATTACGTGCCACGAGGCTATAATTAAATGGGCTCCTTACATGGAACCCATATGCTTACCCAAGCTTTACCTTACCTAATAGAGCCCGTTCTTACCATTCGCGACCCAAGAGGCCCTCTAACATGTGGTGTTAGGGCCTCTTAGGTCAGTGAAATAGTTTGATAAACTGTGATTAGTGTATTGCTGCATCTTTTAGCTCGGTAACTAGCGCAACAATGCTGTAATTTGCTGAGCTGCGCGGGCTTTACTGTTAATCTCATGTGCTCATTATGTACCTCTGTAACCTCTACCACACTCAGGATGGGCAAGGGGTTCACACACCACACTCAGGGTGGGCAAGGGGTCCCCACACCCCCACACACACACACAGGATGGGCAAGGGGTTCACACACGACCTCAGGGTGGGCACACCACACACTCAGGATGGGCAAGGGGTCACACACCACACTCAGGATGGGCAACACACACACTCAGGATGGGCAAGGGGTCCCCACACCACACTCAGGGTGGGCAAGGGGTTCCCCACACCACACTCAGGATGGGCATGGGGTCCCCACACCACACTCAGGATGGGCAAGGGGTTCCCCCACCACACTCAGGATGGACAAGGGGTCCCCACACCACACTCAGGATGGGCAAGGGGTCCCCACACCACACTCAGGATGGGCAAGGGGTTCCCCCACACCACAAACAGGATGGGCAAGGGGTTCACACACCACACACAGGATGGGCAAGGGGTTCACACACCACACACAGGATGGGCAAGGGGTTCCCCCACACCACACTCAGGATGGGCAAGGGGTTCCCCACACCACACTCAGGATGGGCATGGGGTTCCCCCACACCACACTCAGGATGGGCAAGGGGTCCCCACACACACTCAGGATGGGCAAGGGGTCCCCACACCACACTCAGGATGGGCAAGGGGTTCCCCACACCACACTCAGGATGGGCAAGGGGTTCCCCACACCACACACAGGATGGGCAAGGGGTTCCCCACACCACACTCAGGATGGGCAAGGGGTCCCCACACCACACTTGGACAAGGGGTCCCCACACCACACTCAGGATGGGCAAGGGGTCCCCACACCACACTCAGGATGGGCAAGGGGTCCCCACACCACACTCAGGATGGGCAAGGGGTCCCCACCCACACTCAGGATGGGCACACACGACACTCAGGACGGACAAGGGGTCCCCACACCACACTCAGGATGGGCAGGGGATGCATAATGAGTGAACTAAAAGCATGTACAACAGACACTAACCCGGAACACGGGCATCACACTAGATGCCAATACCCTCCTGGAGACCCATAACAGCGCGGGCCCGCCACCCACTCCACCAATGACCACAGTTATTGGGCTAAAAACTCGTCCTGGAGCCGCTCGCTGGGTCAACCATCTCCCTCTCTCTCCCTCTCACTAGGTCCCTTCCATCCCGATTCCCTCCCTCCCTCTCCATATCTCCCATATCTCCCACTCATCCCCCCCCCCCCTCCTTCCCATTCTCCCCCTCCCCTCCCACCCTGTTTAACCCTCTTCCAGAATACCCCCTCCCACCCCATCGTAGATGCCAACAGGAGCTCCTCTTCCTTGACAACGCCCCAGTCCAAGATTGTTGGCGGAATTCTGGGACTCAAGAATAAAAATGATCTTAAATAACAATAAGGCAAAAAAAAAAGCCTAAGGCAAATCGAGACGGTTTCGTAACCTTAGCACGCACATACACCTACCCTTAACACAAGGCTTGAGTTTGGCCGGCATCTCTAGTACCCTCCAGGACTTTCACTCACCTTAAAGAAACTCAACACGCAAAAACTAGAAGCAGTGCAAAACATGTCCATAAGAAGAGTGACAAAATACCGTCTACCGTATGACCAAACCATTCAGGAAATTCATGAAGCCCTCAACATCCAACCACTGAACATGTGAGCAGAGCCATGCAGTAATAGAAAGTCAACTCCAAGATGAGTCACTCCAATCCAACAGCTGGGGCAGTAGTGGGTAGTAGTAGTTGTTGGATCAGTAGTGGTAGTTGGTGGTGGTGGTGGTAATTGTTGCAACAGCAGTGGTAGTAATTGCGCACGCGCACTCAAAAGACTACAATGACAGGTAGCAGTAACAGACAAGCAACATCAATTACAGAGAGATGAACACCAAACGCGGGACCAGTAGAAACCACAAGCAACACCACGCCAGGACCTTTGCACGCCCAACACTTCGAAGCCTGCCAAGAGAACTCAAGCCCAGTTCACAACCACAACCGATGCACACCAGCCGCAAACACAGCGCCCTTCACAGACTGTGTGACTGCAAGCAAGTAATATACCCCCCCCCTTCCCCTTCCCCAAATCGACGACCTCTGGGCCCGTAAATATGAAGTCGGAAACGACAGTTTTTCTTTATCCGTTCACAGCTTTTTCCCTTCCTCTTCCCTCGACGACCACAGTGACGGTATCGCCACAGGACCTTGAGCGGCGTCACACTGACACCCTCGTGACGGCGCAGGAGGTCATGAAGGATCTTGGGACGCCCCACACACCAGTACACAAGCACAGACGGTGATATCCCAGACCGCGACGTCTCTGGTTAGCGTTGTGAATACGGGGAATAAGGGTTGCCTCCTAAGGACAATGGTGGAGGTGATGTAACTGTTGCCTTTCACGGCCGGGAACTTATAAATCAGTTTACCGAAGTGCTCCTTAACGTCTAAGGCGAAAAACAGACTACGATGTGGGTTGTTTTGGTTCCTCATGGACGTTTCAAGTCTATGGCGTATCTTAAGTTATAATGACCAAACTACACTTCAGAAAACGAGGGAACGACGACGTTTCGGTCCGTCCTGACCTGATAATGATCCAGGACGCACCGAAACGTCGTCGTTCCTTTATTTTCTGACGTATGGTTCGGTCATCACATCTCCAGCCACGTTATTGTGACCCATCGTCTGCATCACACACACAGATCACACTAACGTGATGCATCAAATGAACAAATTCACACGGGCCGTGACGAGGATTCGAACCTGCGTCCGGGGAGAATCCCAGACATGGAGTAGAACTTCGGTTTCAACCCTTTTACCCTGTCGTAGCTCAGTCGATTAAGGCACTGTCTGGGATGCTCCCGGACGCAGGTTCGAATCCTCGTCACGGCCCTTGTGGATTTGCTCATCGTCTGCATATTTTAACCCAGCCTCACATGCCCCGGTCCAGTCTGTCCCAACGTAACCCTGGTCCAGCTTGGCTAAGCGCAAGCACACTTAAACAGACGAGTTGTATGGTATTTAATCTGGGACGAAAGTTTGCAGTCATCGTCCTCCTCATGCGTACATATTCATTACTTTACACTCGAATGGCGATATTATGCATTAAGGACAGAGATAGTCAGTTGCTCCCAGAGCTCCAGCAAGGGGAAAAACTCGTTAATGTAGACCAACACCAATCACGCCAGAAAGGCATCTGTGGCTAAACAGAGCTTCGGGGGAATTCTTTGCGACTCTCTTCCTCCCCTTCTCCTCACAGCCGAGCCATCGACCAACAGAGGTCCCTGACCTACCCCCTCCTCCACCCCCCCTGGGTCCTCTACAGTGACCGCGGGTCAGAGGTCACGTAAAGAGGCTCTAAATCGCTGGAAAACTCTAACAATCTCACCCCCCCCGGCCAAGTACCCGAATTACCACAAAAGAAACTGCACACCGCACTCTCTCAATGGTCCCTAACTGCTCTTCCTACTCTTAACTCAGACTCTTTCTCTTCTATCATTCAGTGTTTTTATCTCGTCTTTACTTTTTTAGCGATCTTCCCCCCCCCCCCCCATGTCATTCATGGCGAATTAGGGCTTTTATCTTCTTGGTGCTGTTGTTGCGACCGCTGCCGCTGCCGCTTTTGTTAATAGTATTAAACTTTTGCGTTTCTGTTGCGTCGTCACCGTTCGTCGTCTTTGACTTCGTGTGAACGACAGACAAGTGACGGCTCCGTGTTACCATTCAACATGGTTACTCACCCCTCCACCCCACACCTGGGGCCTGGCCCACACCTGGGGCCTGGCCCACACCTGGGGCCTGGCCCACACCTGGGGCCTGGCCCACACCTGGGGCCTGGCCCACACCTGGGGCCTGGCCCACACCTAGGGCCTGGCCCACACCTGGGGCCTGGCCCACACCTGGGGCCTGGCCCACACCTGGGGCCTGGCCCACACCTAGGGCCTGGCCCACACCTGGGGCCTGGCCCACACCTAGGGCCTGGCCCACACCTGGGGCCTGGCCCACACCTGGGGCCTGGCCCACACCTGGGGCCTGGCCCACACCTAGGGCCTGGCCCACACCTAGGGCCTGGCCCACACCTAGGGCCTGGCCCACACCTGGGGTCTGGCCCACACCTGGGGCCTGGCCCACACCTGGGGCCTGGCCCACACCTGGGGCCTGGCCCACACCTGGGGCCTGGCCCACACCTGGGGCCTGGCCCACACCTGGGGCCTGGCCCACACCTGGGGCCTGGCCCACACCTGGGGCCTGGCCCACACCTGGGGCCTGGCCCACACCTGGGGCCTGGCCCACACCTGGGGCCTGGCCCACACCTGGGGCCTGGCCCACACCTGGGGCCTGGCCCACACCTGGGGCCTGGCCCACACCTGGGGCCTGGCCCACACCTAGGGCCTGGCCCACACCTAGGGCCTGGCCCACACCTAGGGCCTGGCCCACACCTGGGGTCTGGCCCACACCTGGGGCCTGGCCCACACCTGGGGCCTGGCCCACACCTGGGGCCTGGCCCACACCTGGGGCCTGGCCCACACCTGGGGCCTGGCCCACACCCATGCCCACACCCCGGAGAGACAGGACTTGGGCACTAATGGAGCCACGGTTTTCAATACGAGACGAGAAAGATTTAGTCAGTAACAACATTAAACATTATGCAGTCTCCGTGGTGTAGTGGTTAAGACACTTGCCTGGCGTTTCGCGAGCACTTTGTCCTGGGTTCGTATCCTAGCAGGGAAAGATTTACTGGGCACCAATCCTTAACTGTTGCCTCCAAGTACCCACAGTAAAATGGGTACTTGGTTGTAAAAACGATTTTTCGCGGGGTCGTATTCGAAGGAACATGGATTAAGGACTTGCCCGAAACGCTACGCGTACTAGTGGCTGTACAAGAATGTAAGAACTCTTTGCATATATATATTTATATATATATATATATATATATATATATATATATATATATATATATATATATATATATATATAAATCCATACAATGGACACATGAGGGTGGCCGCAAAGCAAAGTATATCATAGAAACAAGTTCAAATACTTATAAGATATATTCAAAGTTTATAAGAAAGCCACTATAGTTATACCCAGCGTGTCGGGCACACAGTTTAGGTAGATGAAGCCGGTCTGGCTTCACAAGGTGACCTAGCTATGATTTCGGGGCTCAACGTCCCCGTGGCCCGGTCCTCGTCCAGGCCTCCACACCTATTCTCTGGCGCTAACTGGCTATATAGAGCTTCTGGAGAAGACACTGGCTAACAAGAAGCGTCACTTCGACGTGTTTGGCGCTGCTGCTGCTGTTATAGATTCAGCTACTCTGAACAAGTTCCAAGTAGCACGGGCTATGGTGAGCCCGTAACTTACTTGGCACAGGAGCAGTGCCGAGTTCGACGCTCTTGGGTGCGGAACAAGTCTCCTGGAACACATTCACCTCTCCCTCCTTCCCTCCCACTTGACCTCTGACCCCGCCGAGTGCCTCAACCCTCCAGCACCGCCATCTTCTCAACCACACTGCAAGCCGGAAGTCATTATATCTTACCTTATTACAAACCTGACACACACACACGCAGGAGCACACGCGCACACTCACGCACACATGCCAAAGATGTAGCCCGCAACAACTCTCTGGCGCTCATGTAACCATTTACTGCTAAGTGACCAGAGGTATCAGGTGAAAGAAAATCTGCCATCTGGAATCGAACCCGGGCCAGTGGACTGTGAGTCCCGAACATTCACCACTCGGTGCACCCAACAGATCAACCGAAGGTCATTTTCCTTCGTTGCCGTTTCCTGGAACCTCTTTCCTGGAACCTCTTTCCTGGAACCTCTTTCCTGGAACAAGACCGCTTCCTGGAACCTCTTTCCTGGAACAAGACCGCTTCCTGGAACCTTTTTCATGGAACAAGACCGCTTCCTGGAACCTTTTTCCTGGAACAAGGCCGCTTCCTGGAACCTTTTTCCTGGAACAAGGCCGCTTCCTGGAACCTTTTTCATGGAACAAGGCCGCTTCCTGGAACCTCTTTCCTGGAACCTTTTTCATGGAACAAGACCGCTTCCTGGAACCTCTTTCCTGGAACCTTTTTCATGGAACAAGACCGCTTCCTGGAACCTCTTTCCTGGAACAAGACCGCTTCCTGGAACCTCTTTTCTGGAACAAGACCTTTTAATGGAACTCGAGGATTTTTAGAAGCTGAAATGATACAAGCCGGCGAGTGTACCTTGAGGAAAGAGTTTAGAATGAAGAGAGCCCCCCTCTCCCGCTCCTCCCCTCCCCCCCAGGACGAGCAGCTGCCGCCTGCAGACCACTTGGTCTCTCCCGACCCAGGCACCAGCTGCGCCACACGCCATCAGACACATTCAGAACATGAAGATCCTCTCCAACACCTGTACCAGGTCACCGTGACAAAGGTCACACCACACAGTAGAAAGGAACCATAACACAGGTGTGTGTGTGTGTGTGTGTGTGTGTGTGTGTGTGTGTGTGTGTGTGTGTGTGTGTGTGTGTGTGTGTGTGTGTGTGAGAGAGAGAGTGTGTTATTCCAGTGCTCAAGCTGGTCAGTTTTTTTTGTTCCTGAGGATGATGTAGTGTTTTTGTTGGGTGCTGCTGCTTTGTGTTGAGAGTGCCTGAGCTGCAACTAGGAGGGTATGTCCCGGCAGCTGGGAGGGTGGCCCCTGGGAGCTGGGAGGGTGGCCCAGGGAACTGGGAGCGTGGCCCCCCTTAGCCGCTGGGAGGGCGACACTGACAGAGTACCCACAGTGGAAGAAATTGCAGAGATTATTAATATACAATTATTCCTTCGACGCAAGAGCGACATTACGCAACATTCAGCTAACCTCTGGGTTAGGTTGACGGGTCTCAGTTCGACCTCTCTACAGGCAGAAACAAAAAACGGAAGGGGTTATTCTCCGAGGCTCCACGCGACCAATGGGGTTACTCCCTACAGAATGGAAGACTCGCCTCCCACCATCAGCTTCCAGCATGCCTCTGACCATGATGGGGAAAACACACCGAGTGCCCATGAGTTACTGCCACCGTGAATCAGGACGGACGACACACAGTACCTCAGGAGGAAGCCAACGACGACGATGATGATGTCCTTTCTCCCTTTTTCCCGCTCACACTCTCGCGCGCGTGCGAGGACCTATCTTGTCCCCTTTTGATGCCCTGCGACCGGCCTGCCATCACCCGTGGCGGCCACCGGGCAGCTCCCGCCGCGAGGGCGAGTCAAGCTCCACCTGTAACAACATGGTCTACACCTCCAGTGCAGGATCGCAACACGCTGATGCTGCAACAGTGATCAGTTATCACGACACGCCCCAAGGAAGAGCAGTCAAAAGAGGAAGCAGCTGCAACAAAAGCGTCAACTGCAGCAGTAAGAGCAACAGCAGCTGGACCAACGAGAGTAAAAGCAGCTGTGATAAACATTAAACTGTTGCTGATTATTCTGCTTAATAAACTGCCCACCTAGTACATTAACGCAGCCTCTCCGAGCCTAACGCATTAAGAACACGTTAAATACCACCATATCCCATTGGTGTGGCAGCTAAGGAGGATGCCCCGACACTATTACTACCGTCCCGTCGTTAAACGAGTCTTGGGCCTCCATAACCATTAATCATGATTAACGAGGCGTTCTCTAGTTCGATAATTACAAGAAGGCGTAGGACCGACGTCTCCCTCTCCTAAGCAAAGGTCATTAAAATACTTCTTAACTCCTCCCTCGAGTCGATAAGACAACACCGAGACGATCGGCGCCATATTTGTCGAGTTTAATTGGTTGTTTCAGTGGAGAACAAATTTTGTGGGGCTCTGATTAGTTTGCCTCTGCCGGGGATCGTACCCGGGCCCTTAGGACTACGAACCCAGAGGGCTGTCCACTCAGCCGTGAGGCCCCACAATGATTAGTTTCTTGCTGCGAGGAAAGTTGGTGTTGTTAGGGCGTGGGTTTGATCACAATGATGTACAGCTTGTTGGGGCCCACACCGACCTTGATGGCTTGTGTTAAACGCTTCACTGCTGGACCGTCCGCTTGTTACAATCACCCAAGAATGCAGAGAAGTCACAATAACGGGGCTGTAACAATTAGCCCAACAACCCCTATATATATTAAAAAAAATGGCAATGTTTTGGTCCTTCCTGGACCCCTAATACAAGGTTCCAGGACGGACCAAAACGTCGCCAATCACTATAATCTTGTATACCACATATGTAAGACCAATCCTGGAGTATGCGGCCCCAAGCATGGAGCCTGTACCTTGTCAAGCACAAGACGACGCTGGAAAAAGTTCAGATGTATGTCACTAGACTAGTCCCAGAACAAAAAGGCATGAGTTACGAGGAAAGGCTGCGGGAAATGCACCTTACGACACTGGAAAACAGAAGAGTAAGGGGAGACATTATCACTACCTACAAAATCCTCAGAGGAATTGACAGGGTTGACAAGGATAAACTATTCAACACTGGTGGTACTGGAACAAGGGGACACAGGTGGAAACTGAGTACCCACATGAGCCACAGGGACATGAGAAAGAACTTTTTCAGTGTCAGTAGTCAACAAGTGGAACACATTGGGCAGTGACGTGGTGGAGGCTGACTCCATACACTGTTTCAAATGTAGATATGATAGAGCCCAATAGGCTCAGGAATCTGTACACCGGTTGATTGACAGTTGAGAGGCGGGACCAAAGAGACAAAGCTCAACCCCCGCAAACACAAATAGGCGAGTACAAATAAGTGAGTACACACCCCACCAGCATGAAAACTAACAGATTACGATGAGACGAACACACACACACACACACACACACACACACACACACACACACACACACACACACACACACACACACACACACACACACACACACACACACACACGCCAAAATGAAAATAAACGACGAAATCTAGAAATCTTCTTGAATCACGACTTTAAGAATGCTACTCACCATGAACTTCTTGTTGGAGGGAGGGACGGGGGAGACCAGACCCCGTCAGCCAGTTTACTGTACAGACAGATGCGTGTGCGTACGAACCTCTACGCACGCATCCCAAGTACGAACTACCCTTGCTCGTGCAGAGCTATGTCACTAGACTAGTCCCAGAATTAAAAGGCATGAGTTACGAGGAAAGGCTGCGGGAAATGCACCTTACGACACTGGAAAATAGAAGAGTAAGGGGAGACATTATCACTACCTACAAAATCCTCAGAGGAATTGACAGGGTTGACAAGGATAAACTATTCAACACTGGCTCAGGAATCCCTCCCACGCCTGAGGCCTTCTCTGCCTGAGACTTACCTTAAGGTTCCCTTGAGATGATTTCGGGACTTGGCGACCCCGCGGCCCGGTCGTCGACCAGGCCTCGTTGCTGAACTGGTCAACCAAGCTGTTGGACGCGGCTGCTCGCAACCTGACGTATGAGTCACAGCCTGGTTGATCCGGTATCCTTTGGAGGTGTTTATCCATACTTTGGAGTTTAACTTTGGAGGTTATTGTGTAGTGGAATCGTGTTGAACAGTCTCGGGCCTCTGATGTTGATAAGAGTTCTC